CTCGTCCAGAGCCCCCGCCACCGTGATCGCTACATGGACTGGTGACACCCCTGGTCTATCCCGCTCATTGCCCGAACGCAGCTGGTGCTGTCCCAGAACAGGTGCGTCGTCTCCCCTCCCTCTCATCAGTGTGCAATCCTGAGTATCGCCGAGCGCGTCCCACTACTCGCAAAGTGCCTACTCGCAAAATATTCTAACAGCCAGCGTCTGCCTTGATGTAATGGATCTCAAGTCCCCTCGGCAGATCTGGGCCATCTGCGAGTAGTTACTCTGCGAGTAGTGGAACGCGCTTGTCTAGAGCAGCGCGGGTGCCCAGGTGCGCAGGTCTCCGTGGCTGCTGCCTCGGTAGGCGGTTGCAGGTGCCGCCGCAGTCGAGGGCGAGGATCACGGCCTGAAGGTGAGCCTCCGTCTGCGCCGAGATGCACTCGGGCACCCCCTCGCAGCATTCCGTTTGCCCGGCCGCGGTCCAGTACGGCCCGCCAGGGCCCACTCCGATCCGCTCGATCCGATTCGAGATCGGCTCCGGCCGGCCCGATTCGATTCGATTCGAACTTTCGAGCGATCCGATGCGGCCCGATGCTCGCGCGGCGCTCTTGTGCGTCCCGGCGCTGCCGACTCGATTCGACTCCGGCTCCGTGCCGATGCCGCCCGATCCGATGCACGTTCGGATCCGACCCGGTCTTCCCGATTCGATATTGTTGGTTCCTGCCCGCGCGCGCTCTTCGCGTCCTCTTCGGAGAGGACTGCAGGCGGCCTCGGCGGCGAGGCCGGGGCGACTCCCGCAGGCTGCTGGGCGGGGGTCGCCCGTGGCGCTCGCGCGGAGAGGCCAAGAGAGCGGGGCCGGAGGAGGAGGAGGAGGAGGAGGAGGAGGAGGAGGAGGAGGAGGAGGAGGAGGAGGAGGAGGAGGAGGAGGAGAGTCTGGCCCGCACGGCCCCGGGGGCAGGGTGGCGCTGGCCGTGCAGGGTGGCGGCCACGTCGAGCGCCGTCGAGCCTCGCAGAGCTGCACGGCAGCGCTCCAGGCGACCCCGTGTGGGGCCCTGGTCCGGACCTCCGTGGGCTCCTGGCGAGGTGTGGCCTGCTGCAGACGTGGCCGTCTCCCCCCTTCCGCCTCTTCGTCTCCTCCCCTCCTTTCCGCCGGCTGCTTTCACCTGCCCTCTCCTCCCTTTCCCTCTCTCTCTCTCACACCTTCCCCCTCTTGCTGTCGCTCTCGCTAGTCTCTGCCTCTCCCCCTTTCTCTGCCTGTCCCTCTCCCTCTCTCTCCTCCCTCTCTCCTCTCCGCTGCCCTTTTTACTCCTCAGTCTCCTTCTCCCTCTCCCCCTCTTCCCCTCCAATCCGCGCCCCTCGGGATGAAGATTACAGCCGCGATGCAAAAGCCAGAAGCAGTTCGGGTTCGGAAGGAGGTCGCTGTTTCTTAGGTTGTACAGTGCTTTTGCTTGATTTGCATGGTCACCAAGGCTTGCCTAATCTCCAGCCCTTTCCTCTCGCTGCTGGTCGCCGCCGCAGCTGCTGCGATTGCGCCCTCAGGAGGGATGCCCATCCACGAGCTGCGCGAGGTCATCGTGGACGGCAAATCGGAGCGTCTCTCCTCCTATCTTCTGTTGTGAATCCGGCGGTCTCACGCACAGGTAGTGTTGGCGTGCCCCAGGAAGCTCAGAGCAAGTGTGATACAAAAGCAAGTGTAATACAAGACATAGCAATTGTGATAAAACAAACAAGTGTGATAAGCAACAAGTGTGACAAGCAAACATGATACATAAGCACACTTGTTTTTTTTAAACACTTGTTTTTATCACACGATCTCATTGACTTGGCCGTCGCCGTCGCCAGGTGCCCGCCCTCTGGCCTGTGGGCGCGCTCTCGTCCTCCCGGCAAGTTTTTTTGGGGGGGAGGCGCTGTTTGTGACCTGTGCGGTGGTGGCCACCGGGACTGTCGCACCACGTGTGTGCGGCAGAGGCTGAGGCGCCAACAAGCGCGAAGGTTTATGATGTTCCAACCCTCTTTAGCCTTTGTCATCAGAAAGAATTCCGAGCACCACGAAAGGACCGAAGCTGGAAGGTTTTCGCGTGTCGGGCCCCGGGAAGCGATACTCGCTCGGCACTGTTTCGATACTTGTCTGGGTGCTCGATTTTTTTTTGTATGTGGTCCTTAAGTACGATGGGAGCAACATGAGCGAAGGTGTTCTTTTGTGCCTGGTGACTTGTCAGTGCTTGATCGCGCGCGCGTGTGCCGTTTTGGTATTGCTTCGCATGCGTCTCCCACGCCGAGGTGTGTTTTTTTTGTTTGATTGTCGTTTTGTGTGTGTGTGTGTGTTTCCCTTTATCTCTCTCTCTCTCTTTCTCCTTCCATCCCCTACATCACTCCGCCCCTTCGTCGTCGTCCTCCTCCTTCTGCTCGAGCTCCTTCTGCTGTCGTTGTCGCCCAGCTGGGGTGGAGCTCTCTTTGCGAGGATGGTAACAAGGCGACCTTCCGAGTTCCCATCCACTTGGAGCTGGTCAAAAAGGTCACGGACTTGGGGTACCGTATACTGTGCATGATCCGTCATCGGGACATGATTATGTATCTTCCCAACGATGTAGCAACGACAGGAAGGGAGAACTTCATACCCGATTCGCTGCGCCCCAGGGGTATTTGAGACTGCGCGACCATGGAGAGTGATAAAGGGCCGTCTCCACCTCACTTTCGCCCCAGTCCTCCTCGTCCTCCACGGCCGCGTTCCTTTTGGAGGAACAGTTTCGAGGGTTGAGCTACCTCTTGTGAAGTTTTGTTGATGGGCCTCAACACGGTCGGTCATTGCTTTTATGTGAAAACGGATCATTGCCATGTATCTTTCTTTGCGCATCGATCGTTGTAGTTGCCGGTTCGGCTTCCTCCACCCCTTCTCATCGGTGGGATTTCGCCCCCTCAGCGTGTGTCCTACTTATCACGACTCACGTACGCTCAAGCCAGGGAGCGATCGAAGCATGCGTTTCCGATCAGTTTGTTAGCGAAGCGATTTGTTCAACGCCTTCGGGGTGGAACCGCTTGATGTGTTAGTCGAAGGTCGGCGGCGGTTTACCTTCTGCGACCATTGGTTGGGGAGGATGCGGCCGTTCCAGCCCACGCTGTCGTGAGCCAGTTCATATTCGTTCCGCACTGTGATATTAAGTCACCGCACATAGTTCAGGCCACCCGTGGGGGGCGCGAAGACGCTTCGCGCTCTGCAGTCTGGGCCGGAGGGTTGTACGCCTCAGGGGCGGCACGACAGCGCGAAGGTGACCTCTCTCTGCGCTTTGCGCAGCGCGAAGCGCGAAGTTCGGTGACCCACATGATACACAATGTTGAATTGATCAAACACAGACAGTGCACATGAGTTGATGCCTAGTCATTCTTGGAGGACGGGATGCCTCTTGGGTGCTGCTGTGTCAGCGCCGCCCCATCCCCTCCACCGTCCCATGGTCTCCGCAGGGTGAACTTGACTGTGCCCGGAATTTGACTGGTCTTTCTATTCAAGTGGCTCACGAAGTTCCGCCGACCATCTGGAAGGAGCGACTGCTTGCGACGATCTTGGAAGTTATCTAGTGGGTCAGGAGCATCTTGGATGCTTATGAGGGGCTCGTGGGAAGCCTATCAGGGGCCTCTTCGAGGGCTCTTGGGGGCATCGGGTGGGGGGCCTTTTGGGCCTTCTTGATGGTCTCCTGGGGGCTTCTTGGGGACGTCTCGGAGGCCTCTTGTGGCCTCTGGTGGGCGCCTCGGGGGCGTCGAGGGTCTCTTGGGGCCATCTTGGAGAGAAAGGCTCGAAATGTCAGTTCGTATATTCCCTTTTGGGCTCCCCTCAGGGCCCTCTTGGGGCTCTCCTGGGCCTTCCTGGGGCCCCCTGCGGTTGTCCTGGGACCCTCTTTGGCTGCCTTGGGGCCCTCTAGGAGGTCTCATCTGCCCTGTTGGAGCGATCTTGGGGGCCCCTTGGGCCGTCGTGGACGCTGTCAAGACGAAACAGGCGAGTATCGAAGACGCCTACGGCGAATCACCGCCGCCCCCTGCCTTCTAGAATCGCCCATGTGGCCGAGCGTTGTGGCAAGAGCTCTTCCAAGCTATCGGACCATGTGTTCCCCCAGCCGTTGTGGAAACCCTTCGGGGAACACGTGGTGGAGGATGGCGGGGAAGATCAGGAGGAGGCGGAGGAGGAGGTGGAGGAGGAGGAGGTGGAGGAGAAGGAGAGGAGGAGGAGGAGGAGGAGGAGAAGAAGGAGGAAGAGGGGGCATCTTGGGAGCCTCTGGGGACACTCTTGGAGCCGCCTGGGAGCTTCTTATTGGAGGCCTCTTGGGGGCCTCTTGGGCCGTCTTGGGCAATATTGACGCCATGTTAGGCCGTCTTGGAGGCATCTTGGGGGGCGAAGCTATCGGACCATGTGTTCCCCGAGTCGGTTTGGAAAGCCTTCGGGGAACATGTGGGGGAGGAATAGGAAGAGGAGGAAAGGAGGCAAAGGAGAAGGGGGAGGATGCCTCTTCGGAGCCTCTTGAGGCACTCTCGGGCTCGATTGGAGGCCATGTTGGGTCTATCTTGGGCTCTCTTGGGTCCTCTTGTGGGCCTATTGGGGCCTTTTTGGGGCTTCTCGGGGGCCTCTTTGGCTGTCTTATGGCGTTCCTGGCCCGTCTGACGCCGTCGGGAGCTGTCTTGGGGGCCTCTTGGGCGTCTGGGGAGGTCTCTTGGGTCGTCTTGGGGCCCCTTGGGACCGTCCTGGAGGCCTCTTGGGCCGTCATGGGGCCCTCTTGGAGTCCTCTTGGGGATCTTGGGGCGATCTTGGGGGCCTCTTGGGCCGTCTCGAGCCGTCGGAATGCCGAGAAGAAGCAAATGCCAAATCCTTCAAAACCTAGGAAAATCAATGATTTTGGCCTCTTCGGGCCCTCCTGGAGGACCTCTTGGAGGCCTCTTGGGCCGTCTTGGAGGCCTCTGGGGGGCCTCCTGGGCCGTCTTAGGCCATCTGGATGCCATCTCAGGCCGTCTTGGGTGCATCTTGGGCCGTGTTGGAGGCATCTTGGGGCCATCTCAGCCGCCTTGGAGGTCATCTTGGGCGTCTTGGAGGCCTCTTGGGCCGTCTTGGACCCTCCTGGGGCCGTCTTGGGGGCCTCTTGGGCCGTCATGGGGCCATCTTGGAGCCCTCTTGGGCGATCTTGGGGCGATCTTGGGGTCCTCTTGGGCCGTCTCGTGCCGTCGGAATGCCGAGAAGAAGCGAATGCCCAAATCCTTCAAAGACCTCAGGCAAATCAATGATTTCGGCCTCTTCGGGCCCTCCTGGAGGACCTCTTGGAGGCCTCTTGGGCCGTCTTGGAGGCCTCTTGGGGGCCTGCTGGGCCATCTTGAGCCATTTTGAAGCCATCGTACGCCGTCTTGGGTGCATCTTGGGCCGTGTTGGAGGCATCTTGGGGCCATCTTAGCCGTCTTGGAGGCCATCTTGGGCCGTCTTGGAGACGTCTGGAGCAGGAAGAACTCTTTGGAGCCGGGTCTGGGCAATCCTTCCGGGACCCCGGCGGGACGCGCCGGACTCCAGGGGGAGTTCTTTTGGAAAAAGAACCAAAACCAAAACCGAGAGGATTCAGCACGCCAGGCACCCCTGCGATGAATCGACAGGGGGCGGCGGATCGAAGACGCCTACGGCGAATCACCGCCGCCCCTTGCCTTTGTGGAAGCGCCTATGTGGCCGAACGTTGAGGCCAGACCTGCCAAGCTATCGGATCATGTGTTCCCCGAATCGGTTTGGCAAGGCTTCGGGGAACACATGGGCATCTTGAAGGTCATCTTGGTCGTTTGGAGGCCATTTTGACCCTTTCTGGCCTTCTTGGAGGACGTCTTGGAGGGCTCTTGGGCCGTCTTGGAGGCCATCTTGAGCGTCTTGGAGGCCTTTTGGGCCGTCTTGGGGGCCTCTTGGGACCGTCTTGGGCGATCTTTGGGGGCACTTGGGCCGTCTCGGGCCGTCGGAAGGCAGAAAAAAAGCAAATGCCACAATCCTTCAAAAACTCTTGGGAAATCAATGATTTTGGCCTTTTCGGGCCTTCCTGGAGGCCCTCTTGGAGGCCTCTTGGGCCATCTTACGGCCATGTTCGGCCGTCTTGGTCTGCTCCTGGCCCGTCTGACGCCGTCGGAAGCCGTTTGGGGGGCCTCTATGGGCCAACTTGGGGCCCTCTTGGAATGCTCCAGGGCCGTCTTGGAGGCCATCTTGGGCGTCTTAAAGACGTGCTGGGCGGTCTTGGGGGCCTCTTGGGCCGTTCTGGGGCCATCTTGGAGGCCTCTTCGGCGATCTTTCGGCGATCTTTGGGGGCTCTTGGGCCGTCTCGGGCCGTCGGAAGGCCAAACATAAGCAAATGTCAAAACATGTAGATACATATATATATATATATATATATATACACATATATATATATGTATATATAATACACACAAGCAAAAACAACAACACATAAACGACACAACAAAACAATACGTGTTTTTGGCCCTTTCTGGCCTTCCCCTGGAGGCCTTTTGGAGGCCTCTTGGGCCAGCTTCGAGCCAACTTCGGCCACCTTGGTGGGTTCCTGGCACGTCTGACACCGTCGGGAGCCGTCTTGGGGGCCTCTCTGTGCCGACTTGGGGCCCTCTTGGGGCATCTTGGCCGTCTTAGAGGCCATCTTGGGCGTCTTCGAGACCTCTTGGCCCGTCTTGGGCCCTTCTTGGACCGTTTTGGGGCCCTCTTGGGCTGTCAGGGGGTCATCTTGGAGGCCTCTGGGGCGACCTTGCGGCGACCTTGGGGGCCTCTTGGGCCGTCTCGGGCTGTCGGAAAGCCGAAAATGCGCAAATGCCAACATCCTTCAAAAACCTAAAAATGATTTTGGCCTCTTCGGGCCGTCCTGGAGGACCTCTTGGAGGCCTCTTGGGAGCCTCTTGGGCCGTTTTGGGCCATCTTGAGGCCATCTTAGGGCGTCTTGGGTGCACCTTGGGCCGTCTTGGCATCTTGGGGCCATCTTTGCCGTCTTGGAGGCCATGTTGGCCGTCTTGGAGGCGTCTTGGAGGCCGTGTTGGGCCATCTTGGGGACCGTCTGGAGCGAAACAAAATTTGCAACCGGGTCCAGGCAATCTTTCGGCATCCTTCCGGGTGGCCGGCGGGACGGGCCGAAGCCCCAGGGGGAGTTCTTTTGGAAAAAAAACCAAAACCAACCCATATAGTTCGGCACGCCAGGCACCTCTGCGATGAATCGACGGGGGGCGGCTGATCGAAGACGCCTACGGCGAATCACCGCCGCCCCCTGCCTAAGCGCCTATGTGGCCGAACGTTGAGGCCAGACCTGCCAAGCTATCGGACCATGTGTTCCCCGAATCGGTTTGGAAAGGCTTCGGGGAACACATGGGCATCTTGAAGGTCATCTTGGCCGTCTGGAGGCCATGTTGACCCTTTCTGGCCTTCTTGGACGTCTTGGAGGGCTCTTGGGCCGTCTTGGAGGCCATCTTGAGCGTCTTGGAGACCTCTTGGGACGTCTTGGGGGCCTCTTGGGG